CATATTCTATGAGATTCACCTGGCAGACTTTGTGACAATCACTATATCCCTCCCTTTCGAAGTCCAATGACAAAGGCTGGTCCTTTCTCTTGGGCAGCCTCCTAGGGCATTTTAGCGCCAGGTCAGGTTCCGAAATGGGTAGCGTGTAATGCTTGAAGGCTCACCTCTTGCACCAGAAAGCCTTGTTAGAATTTCATTCTCCTGGTAGCAAAGGTATCTAGACAGTTACATTCATCATGTCCATCTCTGATTCAGAGGATTTGTCAACACTTGATGGAAGGGGTGAACCCAAGGGTTCTGACAGCCTTTCTGACTGTTCTGAGGGGCAATGCACATTTTTCTCCTGCACCATTTTAGAATTTGTGGTTTTCATATGGTCCTTGTGTGTTGGTTAGCCATGGTTGGTTTTCTCTCGCTTAGAATCTTTCCTCCTTACTGAGATGCAATTTTGCTGAGAATCATGAATTATCTCCCTAAATGTCTGCCACCACTTGCTTACTGTCATTCCTGCTAATCTATCGTGCAGTTCATTTTAACCCCAACCTCATTTCATTATAATTCCCTTTATTTAAGTAAAGCAGTTGTTTCTGACCCACGGTTCTCCCTCTCATGCTGACTTTTAAATTTTATCATGTTATGATCACTAGTTCTAAGAGATGGCTTACTCAGAGATTATTTTGTTAAATCTGCTTGTTATCCATTACCAGATCTAGGGTAGCCTGTTCCCTGATTGGCTCCATAACAGCCAATCTAATTCTAATACATTCTATGAACTCATTGTCATAGCTACCCTTTTAAACTTGATTGGTCTAATCAACATGAAGATTAAAGTCACCCATAATTATTGGTCTATTCTTTTTACATGTTCCTATTACTTATTGATTTATACCCTTTCCTACAGTGTGGCTACTGTTTCAGGGTCAATGTACAACTGCCACCAATGTCTTCTTTCCATTGCTGTTATTTACCTTCACCCAAATGGACTCTACATTGTATCAGCTGGAATCATATTTCACAAGTGTGTTCACTTCATTTCTTATCAACAGTGCTGTCCTACCACCTTTTCCTTCCCTCTTGTCTTTCTGAAAGGTCAAATATTCTTGAATGTTAAGTTCCCAGTTCTGATCTCCTTGTAATCATGCCTCCATAATGGCTACAAGATCATATCAATTTATTTTGATTGGCGCTGTCAGTTTGTCTACCTTATTCTGAATGCTTTGCACATCAAGATACAAAGCACTTAGGCTTGCCTTTTTCCCATTTTTAATTATCTTAACTTTTCTTTGTACTTGCATCTTGCCCTTAACTGTTTACTGCTTTTGCATTTTTTAATTCTTTCTTTTATTGCCCTGCTTGTTTCTCTTTCCCTTGTCACCCTGCTTGGTTCCTGTCTCTCTGCCACTCTTGTTTAAACCTGTCCCAATCATACGAGCAAATATTTGCCATAGGACAGCAACTCTGGTCCCAACCAGATTTAACCTGTGCAGTTTGGACTGGTCCCATTTCCCTGAAACTAGTCCCATTATTCCAAGAATGTGAAAGTCTCTCCTTGTGCCAGCTGTTCAGCCATATATTCATTTTTTTTATCCTGCTATTTCCATTCTGACTAGCACATGGCATTGTTACCACAAGATCACTACCTTTGAGGTCCCACATTTCAACTTAATTCCTAACTCCCTATATTCTTCTTTGAGGACTTCATTGCATTTTTTCACCATGTCAATGGTAATGATATTTACCATAACCACTGGCTGTTCACACTCCCCTCCAGAATGTCCTGCAGCTGCTGAGACATCCTTGACCCCAGCACCAGGAAGACAACATACCATCCTGGAGTTTCTTTTCCATCCACAGGAACACCTATCCGCCTTAGAATTGAAACAGTATTCAAAGCAGTATTTATATTCTGCAGGGGAATAACCACAGCGGGGTTACAGCACTGCCTGCATAGACCTTTCACTCTACCTAGTGGTCACCCATTTCCTTTCTGTCTGTGGAGTCTTAGCTTGCAGTGTGACCACCTTTCTGTACGTATTATCCATGATACTCTCAACTTCACAGATACACCAGTGCCCCCAGCTGCTGTACCAGCTCCAAAAGCTGAGCTTCCGGCAGCTACAGTTGGAGACATACTTGCTGGCCCCAGCTACTAGTAATCTGTCCAGCTTCCTACTTAGTGAAGGAAGAACAAACCATACCCCTTGAACCATACCTTTGACAGGTAGGGCCCTACTTCTCATGACCTAATTAAAACAGAATATAGCCTTTACAGACTATAAACCACAAAAAAAGTTTATAAACTATAAGCTATAAAATATAACTATAAACTATAATAATAGTACAAATGCTCACCTTCTGTACTCATTCAATAAGCAGCTTTCACTGGTCTTGTGCCACTTTTGAATCCCGATGTCACCTCATGAGCTATGCCTCTGGATTGAGTGAAGATAATACTGGGCTGCTCCTTTGAAATTTTTCCCACTGCTCTGCTCAGCTCCAAGAATCCTTGCAAGGTTTGCTCTCTCTCTGACCTCTGGTGCTCTGTACTCTAAGAATTCCTTAAGGTCGCTCTTTCCCCTTATCTCCCAAATTCCCAAAGACACTACTTTTATATTAAAGAGCAGAATACTCAGCAAACAGACAAAAAGAGGAACTGATCATGACCTCCTTCTTTCACCTGATTTCTGTTTCACCAAACTCCAGTAAAGGCATTCTTAAATGGTAAGAGATTTAAAGATCTACAAAGGCGTCTGGGTGTCCTTGTGAATACATTACTGCAGGCTAACATGCAGGTGCACCAAACAATAAGGAATGCTATTGACAACACAGTGTGGAGCTGGAAGAACACAGCAGGCCAGGCAGCATCAGAAATTTTTTTTTCTGAAGAAGGGTCTAGGCCTAAAACGTCAGCCTTCCTGCTCCTCTGATGCTGCTTGGCCTGCTGTGTTCATCCAGCTCTACACCTTGTTATCTCAGATTCTCCAGCATCTGCAGTTCCTACTATCTCTCAGCATCAGAAGACCCTTCTTCAGAAAGGAATGTTATTGATATGTTAGTCCTTATTACAAGAAGGATTAAATACAAAAGCAGTGAAGTGTTGCTTCAATTATGTAGAACCTATTATACTGCACTTGGAGTACTGCATGCAGTTTTGAAACTATGTGCAGTTTTAGTCTCTGACTTAGGAAGGATATTATTGCTGTAGCAGGAGTGTAACAAATGTTTACCAGACTTGGTTCTGGGATAACATGACATGACATAAAGAAGCTGCCCCTGCCGCAGAAAGGCTGCCAACATCATCAAAGACCCATCCCACCCCGGTAATGATTTTTATACCCTCTTCTGTCAGGCAGAAGATATAGAAGCCTGAACATACACACAAGCAGGTTCAGAACCAGTTTCTTCCTGGCCATTATCAGACTGATGATTAGACTCTCTAGCCTCAAATAATGCTGATCTTGCTAACGTTGATCTCGCCTAGTGCACGCTCTATTTAATGTAACCTGTACCGATGTCTGAGTTGTTTTGATCTGTACATCCTTGCTTACTATGATCTGCCTGTACTGCTCATAAATAAAGCTTTTCACTGTACTTCGGCACATGTAACAATGAATGAATGAATCAATCAATCTGTATTTTCCAGAGTTTCAAGAATGAGAAGTGATCTCAATGAAACCTTTCTTTTATTTATTCATTTGTGGGACATGGGCATTGCTGGCTGACCAGCATTTATTGCCCATGCCTGGTTGCCTTTGAGAAGGTGGTGGTGAGCTGCCTTCTTGAACTGCTGCAGTCTACCTGCTGTGGGTTCATCCACAATGCCATTCAGGAGAGAATTCCAGGATTTTGACCCAGTGACAGTGAAGGAACGGTGATATATTTCCAAGTCAGGATGGTAAGTGGCGTGGAGGGGAACTTAAAGGTGCTGGTGATCCCATGTATCTTCTGCTCTTGTCTTGCTAGATGAAAGTAGTTGTGGGCTTGGAAGATGTTTTCTGAGGGTCCTTGGTGAATTTCTGCCCTGCATCTAGTAGACAGAACACACTGCTGCTACTGGAGGAGGGAGTGGATGCTTATGGATCTAGTGCCGACAAACCAGGTTGCTTTGTCCTGGATAGTGTCAAGCCTCTTGAGTGTTGTTGGGTCTGCACTCATCCAGGCAAGTGTGGAATATTCCATCACACTCTTGACTTGTGCCTTATAGATGGTGGAGAGGCTTTGGTGAGTCAGGATATGAGTTACTCACTGCAGTATTCCTAGCCTCTGACCTGCTCTTGTAGCCGCTGTGTTTATGTAGTGAGTCCAGTTGAGTTTCTGGTCAATGATAACCCCAGAATGTTGATAGCTGGGGATTCAGTGATGGTAACACCATTGAATGTCAAGGGGCAGTGGTTAGATTGTCTCTTATTGGTGATGGTCATATCCTAGCATTTGTGTGACGTGAATGTTACTTGCCACTTGTCCGCTCAAGCCTGGATATTGTCCAAATTTTGTTGCATTTCAACATGGACTGCTTCAGTATTTGAGGAACCACAAATGGTGTTGAACATTGTGCAATCATCAGCGAACATCCCCACTTCTGACCTTACCAAGGAGGGAGGTTATTGATGAAGTAGCTGAAAATATTTGGGCCTAGGTCATCAAGCTGAGGAACTCCTGCAGAGATATCCTGGAGCTGAGGTGAATAGAATATAATAAAATAGAATATCCTTTATTGTCACTTGTACAATACAGAAGTGTAGCAGTACAGTGAAAAGTTTTTACAATGGTAGCCTTTTAATAGCAATATTTTAGGTACAAGTACCTAGTACAAATCTTAGAGTAAAAGAATGTGGTCTTGGACAAAGGGGATTAATGGAAAGCATAAGCGTCACTTATAGAAGTAGTTACAACATAGCGAAAAAGGTTTTAAATTACAGTCTGATAACAGCAGCTCAGCATGTGGCACCAGGCCCAAGTCTAGCAATTATCCCACATTGCTCCAGCCTCCAGTCTGCTCCTCACCGGCACTCAGCAGCAACCAGGTAAATCGCAGTGTACTGGGAGTCTGCCTCTCCGACACTCTGCTGGCTCGTGCTCGCTGTCTGCACGATGCTCCAGGGCTGCTTCCCCATGTACTGCTGCAGGCCTCTTCCTGCACTGCTGAAGGGCTTGCTGCTCATGGCATTCCAGGGCACGAGGGCTCGCTGCTCTGGACTTGCTGCCGGGTCCGGTGCTGAGGGAATAGAAGAAGAACAAAAAGAGGGAAAAAAGGAAAAAGATGGAAAAAGAACAGAGTGAGCACAGGAGCTCCGACAGGAGTGTACTACTCTGCCACCATCTTGGACAAAGACACCAGGTCACTGACCTCCACAACCATAACCATCTTCCTAAATTCAGGGATGACTCCAACCACCAGAGATTCTGCCCTCTAATGCCCATTGATCCTAGTTTTGCTAGGGCTCCTTGATGCTACAGTCACTCAAATGCAGTCTTGATGTCAAGGTCTGTTACTCTCACCTCACCTCTGAAATTCGGCTCTTTTGTCCATGTTTAAACCAAGGCTGTACTGAGGCCAGGGGTTGACTGCCCCTGGTGGAACCCAAACTGGGAGTCATTGAGCATGTTATTCCTGAGCATGTGCTGCTTGCTAGCACTATCATGAAGTGCTTTGAGAGGCTGGTTATGGCCATCAACTCCAGTCTCCCAACCAGCCTCAATGCCATACAATTTGTCTACCTATGCACCAGGTCCACAGAGGATGCCATATCCCCAACCCTGCACTCATCCCTGGAACATCTGGACAACAAGGCCACCTACATCAGACTCCTGCTCATTGACTACAGCTCCACCTTCAACACCATAATACCCCCAAGACTGATCTCAAAACACCATGACCTTGGTCTCAGCTCCACCCTCTGCAACTGGATCCTCAGCTTTCTGACCCACAGGCCGTAATCAGTGAGAATAGGTAACTGCACCTCTTCCACAATAACACTCAACACTGGAGCCCCCTTAAGGATGCGTCTTCCGCCTCCTACTGTACTCCGTTCATACCCACAACTGGGTTGCCAACTTCCGAACGAACGTCATCTACAAGTTCGCCACCACTGTAGTGGGATGGATATCTAACAACGAAAAGTCAAATTACAGGAGGGAGATAGAGGGCTTTGTGACATGGTGCAATGTAAACAATCTGTCTCTCAACGTCAGCAAAACTAAAGAACTGATCATTGACTTCAGAAAAAAAGGAGAACATGCCCCCATCTACATCAATGGAACTAAGGTGACAGGGTGAACAGCATCAAGTTCGATGGAGTGACAATAACTAACAACCTGTCCTGGACTTCCCACGTAGACACGATGGTCAAAAAGGCACAACAATGCTTCTCTTCCTCAGGCAGCTCAGGAAATTTGGCATGTCCACAAGGCCCCTCACCATTGAAAGCATACTGTCCGGGTGGATAATGGCCTGGTATGGCAACTGCTCTGCCCTATGACCATAAGAAACTACAGAAGGTGGCATGCACAGCCCAGTCCATCACAGAAGCCAACCTTCCTTTCATGGGCTCCACTCACATGGCTCTCTGTCTCGGAAAGGCTGCCAACATCATCAAAGACCCATCGCACCCCTGCAATGATCTCCTATAACCTCTTCCACTAGGCAGAAGATACAGAAGCCTGAACACACACACGTGCAGGTTCAGGAAAAGCTTCTTCCCGGCCATTATCAGACTGATGAATGGACTCTCTAGCCTCAAATAATGCTGAACTTGCTAACGGTGATCTTCACATTGCACACATCTGTGCAATGTAACCTTAATGCCTCTGTCTAAGTGTGTACATCGTTTGCTTCCTTTGATTCACCTGTACTATTTGTAAATGAAGCTCTTCACTTATGGCGCACGTGACAATAAATAAATCGATCAATGAAGCAATCAAATGATGACACCTTCTATCACTTTACCGATGATCAAGAGTAGACCGATGGGGCAATAATTTTCTGGGTTGGATTTTTGGTTGTCCTGCTTTTTATGTACATGACATACCTGAGCAATTTTCCACATTGTCGGGTGGATGCCAGTGTTCTAAATGTACTGGAACAGCTTGTCTAATGGAGACACATGTTCTGGAGCACAAGCCTTCAATACTACTGCCAGAATGCTGAGGTGGTCATTGCCTTTGCAGTATTCAATGTCTCCAACCGATATCACATGCAATGAATTGCTGAAGACTGGTATCTGTAATGCTGGCGAGCACTGGAGGAAGCTGAGATGGCTCATCCACTCGGCACTTCTGGCTGAAGATCGATGCGGAAGGTTCAGCCTTATCTTTTGCACTGATGTGCTGGGCTCTTCCATCATTGAGGATGGGGATATTTGTGGGGCATCCTCCTCCAATGAGTTGTTTAATTGTCCATCACCATTCACGACTGGATGTGGCAGGACTGCAGAGCTTAGATCTGATCCGTTGGTTGTGAGATCACTTAGCTCTGTCTATCACTTGTTGCTTATGCTGTTTGGCGTGTAAGAAGTCCTGTTTGGTGGCTTCACCAGGTTGACACCTCATTTTCAGGTATGCTTGGTGCTGCTCCTGGCATTCTTTTTGCACTCCCCATTGAAACAGAGTTGATCCCCTGGCTTGTTAGTACTGGCTGAGTGCTGGGCCATGCTGGGCTATGAGGTTACAGATTATGCTGGAGTACAATTCTGCTGCTGTTGATGGCCCACAGCACCTCACGGATGGCCATTCTTGACTTGCTTGATCTGTTGAAAGTTTGTCCCATTTAGCACGGTGATAGCACCAAACAGCATGATGGAGGTTATTCTCAATATGAAGGTGGGACTTCATCTCCATAAGGACTGTGCAGTTTGTCGCTCTTATCGATACTGTCATGGACAGATGCATCTGGTAAGGATGAGGTCAAGTATATTTCTCCCCTTGTTGGCTTCCTGACTGTCTGCTGTGGACCCAGTCTAGCAACTATGTCCTTTAGGACCAGACCAGCCCGATCAGTAGTACTGCTGCTTAGCCACTCAGAGTGACGATGGACATTGAAATCCCCCACCCAGAGTACATTTTGTGCCCTAATCATCCTCAGTGTTTGTCTAAGTGTTGTTCAACATGGAGCAGTACTGATTCATCAGCTGAAGGAGGATGGTATGTGGTAATCAGCAGGTGGTTTCCTTGCCCATGTTTAAACTAAAGCCACGAGACTAAAGCCAGCGTCAATGTAAAGGACTCCCACAGCAACTCCCTCCCGACTGTATAACACTGTGTGGTCACCTCTGCTGGGTCTACCTGCCAATGGATCAGGACACATCCAGGAATGGTGATGCTGTGTCTGGGACATTGTCAGCAATGTGATTCTGTGAGTCTAACTATGTCAGGCTGTTGCTTGACTAGTCTGTGAGACAGCTTTCCCAATGTTGGCACTAGACCCCAGATGTCAGCAAGGAGGACATGGCAAGGTTAACAGGGCTGTTTCTGCTGCTGTCTTTTCCCTAAAAAAATAATGAAAGGGATAGACAGGATAGGTGCAGGCGAGATGAATACACCCCCGCCTCCCCCACAGGGGAGTCCAGAAACAGGGTACACAATGCCTCAATGGCTACCGCCCAGTGGTTCTGCCTCCCTAATCATGAATTGCTTTGAGAGGCTGGTCATCACCCACATTAACTCTATCCTCCCAGCCTGCCCCGATCACCTGCAATTTGCCTACAGTCGAAACTGGCCCACAGCAGATGCCATTTCCCTAGCCCTGCACTCATCCCTGGAACATGTGGATAACAAGGATACCTACACCAGGCTCCGACTCATCAACTACAGCTCCACCTTCAACACCATAATCCCTATCAGACTAATCTCAAAACTCCGAGACCTATGTCTTGGCTCCACCCTTTGCAACTGGATCCTCAGCTTCCTGACCCACAGACTACAACCAGTGAAGATAGATAACAGCACCTCCTCCATGATAATCCTCAACACTGGCACCCCGGAAGACTGCGTTCTCACCTCCCTACTCCCTGTACACCCATGACTGTGTAGCCAAATTCCGAATGAACGCCATCTACAAATTTGCTGACAACACCACCATGGCAGGACGGATATCAAACAATGATGAGCCAGAATACTGGAAGGAGATAGAGGGTTTGGTGTTGTGGTGCAATGATAAAAACCTTTCTCAATGTCAGCAAAACAAAAGAACTGATCATTGACTTCAGAAAGAAAGGAGGAGAACACAACCCCCATCTACATCAAAGGAACTGAGGTTGACAGAGTGAACAGCATCAAGTTCCATGGAGTGACAATAACTAACAGCCTGTCCTGGACTTCCAACGTAGACGCGATGGTCAAGAAGGCACAGCAACACCTCTTCTTCCTCAGGCAGCTCAGGAAATTTGGCATGTCCATAAGGACCCTCACCAACTTTTACAGATGCACTATAGAAAGCATTCTATCCGAGTGCATTACAGCCTGGTACAGCAACTGCTCCACCCAGGACCATAAGAAACTACAGAAGGCTGTGTACACAGCCCAGACCATTCCGGAAGCCCACCTCCCATCCATGGACTCCATTTACACTTCTCGTTGCCCCAGAAAGGCTGTCAACATCATCCAAGACCCATCCTATCCCAGTAATGCTCTCTTCCAACCTCTCCCATCAGGCAGACAGTACACTCAGACAATGAAGGCCATCAGTTCAACAGGGACATGGTACCCATAGCAGCCCAAGCCAAACATAGACATGGACGGGAATTCCTAGAGGCATGTTTCTCCACCTGTAATGCAATCAACAAACACATAGAATTGGACCCCATATACAAACCCATACAGATCAAAACTGGAAATGACACTATTCACCATAACGGACCAAACAGTATAAATTCCAAGCGGAGTAGAATAACACAGCTTCATTGGAGGCTCCACTGATGATGTCACCTAGCACGGTGACGAAATGTCTGAACGAGAACAAGCAAGTCAACAACCTCAGACAATACAGAAGTTTGACCACATGCACAAACAGGTTCAGGGACAGCTTTTTCTGTAATGGATGTCTCTAACTTCATAATGTTGATCTTGCTTTGTGCACCTCATGTGCAGCCATAACACTGTATGCCTCGCTCTGTCTAAGCACCCTATGATCAGTATGTCCTTGTTTGCTTTGACCTGCCTGTACTGCTCACAAAAAATAGCTTTTCATTTTACTTATGACTACAATAAATTAAATCAATTGCAAAGAGGGAAGCCACTTTGGACCAAGATGAGGAGAAAGTGTCTACCAGATACTTGTGAATCTTTGGAATCATTGGCTGTGGAAGCTCAGTCTCTGAGCGTGTTGAGAGATTCACAAATTTCAGAATATCAATGATATAAAGGGATTCGGAATAGCGTTCAACAAAGTGAATGATCAGCCATGATCGTATAGACTGGTGGAACAGGTTGAATGGGCTGAATGCTCTACTCCTGCTCCTATATTCCTATGAAATGTAATAGCTGTATACTAAAAAATATACATATTTGTTGCCACTGACAGGGAGGGAGTTAAGAAGAGGGAAGCCAATCTCCCCTCCTCACCTAGTCTAATACTTTTCCAATGTACGGTAAACTAATCAATATTAAAAACAGAAATATATCCTCTTTGTGAATAACAATACCTTTCGCACGTTCATGCACTGCCGCTGCCTGAACATCATTCCGTCTTCCAGCAGCAGCTCTTTCACCTGGAGGGTTGTCTGGAACTCTGTTGAGATCAGCGTTGCCACCAGGAGCATTAGAAGGAATATTAAAATTAAGGGAACGCCGAATCTTTTTTGGTCTTTGTTGAACTGGACCATGTGCAGATACATTTCTTCTTAAACACGGGCTTTTCTGCGTTTTTGGCACTGTCATTTAACAAAGAGCAAAAAGTAATTCAATATTTACACTGCAATCATTTCACCAAAGAACGTGCTACATATTATAATCAATTTACAAATTGAGTGCATAACAATTTCTGATTCTAGACTGTTCTTGAAAAATTACCTTATTTCAATGAAAGTCAATTACAGTGACAAATACACATCTGTGTCCATCTCGGTCTCCTCTAGAAATCTCCAACATCACAGATGCCTGTCTTCAGCCATTATCAAGAAATAGGTGAAAGCACAGAATACTGCAAGAGCTACGGGCCCCAACAACATTCTGGCAATAGTTCTGAAGACTTATGCTCCAGAATTAGCCGTGTTGCTAGCCAAGCTATTCCACTGCATTGATCCAACAATGTGGCTACGTCCTATCCACAAAAACCAGGACAAATCCAACAATGTCAATTATACGCAGCACTGGCAAAGGAATGGCTTCTCAATGACATTCAGTTTGAGTTGGCGCCTGGCACATACAGCTCCTCATCTCATTACAACCTTGCTCCAAACATGAACAAAAGAGCTAAACTCCAGAGGTAGGTACAGAATCAAGGAGATGTAGTTAACTAGAATCAAATGTGAATCAGGAGGAAAACTGTCCGCTAGTTGAAGTGATACTTAGCCCAAAGGAAGAAGACTCCGGTTTTCAAATTGTGAAATCCATTATTTGTACTAAGTGCACCAACAATATACATAGAGTCATTGAGTCACACAGCATGGAAACAGACCCTTCAGTCAAATTCATTGGCGCTGATCAGACATCCCAATGCGACCTAGTCCCATTTGCCATCAATTGGCCCATATCCCTCTCAACCCTTCCTATCTGTATATCCATCCATTTGGTCTCACCCATCCTCTACATCGGTGAGACCAAGTGTAGACTCGGAGACCATTTTGTACAGCATCTGCGCTCTGTCCGCGACAAATGACAGCACCTTCCAATCGCCAACCATTTTAATTCCCCCTCCCACTCCCTGAGTGACATGACCATCCTGGGCCTCTTCCAGTGTCCCATAAACCCGCAAACTTGAGGAGCGGCACCTCACATTCTGCCTCAGGAGACTACAGCCCGATAGCCTAAACATGGAATCCACCAGTTTTAAAATCTCCCCACCCCCAGCCTCATCCCATGTCCAACCCTCCCTCTCATCCCCACTTCCTTGACCTGACACAACCTGTCCATCTTCTCTCCCACCTATCCACCCCTCCCATCCCACTGACCAATCCCCACCACTCCCTATCTGCACTCACCTATCACCATCCCACCTACCTTACCCAGCCCCACCCCTCCTCTCTCTATTTATTTCTGAGTTCCCTTCCCCCTCCCCATTTCTGAAGAAGAGTCCCAACCCAAAACGTTAACTTTTCTGCTCCTCTGACGCTGCCTGGCCTGCTGTGTTCTTCCAGCTTCATACTGTGTTATCTCTGACGCCAGCATCTGCAGTTCTTGCTATCCCCCAATCTACTCAACCTCTCCTCTTAAGCCAACCCTCTCAAATCTGGAATCAGCCAAATGAACCTCCTCTGCATGCTCCTCCTTTCTCAAGTAAGGAGACCAAAACTGTACACAGTACTCTAGGTGTGGCCTTACCAGCATCCTATACAGCTGCAGCACAACCTCCCTCTTTTCAACTCCATCCCTCTAGCAATGAAGGACAATGCTCCATTTGCCTTCTTAATGTCTGTCAGGGCTCCCCGTTTGGACCAGATTAACAGCCCCAATCGGGAAACTCATATTCTATGAGGTCCACCTGCCTGACCTTGTTACAATCACTACGTTAACCACACTTGCGTGAAAAAAAAAGTCAGGCTCAGTGTTCAAATGACAATTCGCATATGCTAGTAGCTAAATGTATCCAAACATTGGCCATGATGTTTGTATGAAAAGGATTATGTCCACACATTGTACCATTGTTAAAAAAGTTAGAGGAACTTATCAGCCATGATTGAATGGTGGAGCAGACTTGATGGGCTGAATGGCCTAATTTATACTCCTATGTCTTATGGTCTTCTAAAGTTGGTCTTCTTACTTTCAGTCCTAATGAAAAGTTTCAACTTTGTAAAGACTGCAACATTTTTATTTTTCTGTATTTTACATTGAGGACTGAAATGGAAAAAAGAGACTGTTTCAAGAACCAAGGATTGTGGAAAAAATAGCTGCATTTATTAATTGCAAGTTACCAGCACTTATTGTAAGTGCTGTTTATACTGTTCAACCAATGGGGGAAGTTACTGTAGCTGGAGCCAGGGAATGCGTGCAGAATGAGATTTGGCCAGCACCAAGGAGCTAATTGTTTTCTGAAGTGAGGACCAGTAATCGATGACTAAGGCCTCTGCCTGCCTACAACTGCGTGATTGATCACAGGATAGCTGAACAGCATGTAGGTGAGAGATGGGCAAGATTCTTCAGGCCTCGGAATGGAAAGTGCTGCCTTTGTCTCTGTAGTTTAAAAGAAAACACTTGAAACCTGAAGAAAGCCAGTTTATTTGCCCTCATTAATCACTATAAGGTATGACTTTTAACCAACAAGTCAGAGATCTTATAATGTGTAAATCAGTTGTTCCTTGTACACGGAAGTGAAAGAAGACCTGGAGAGAGAGATATCAACAAACATGATGGTCATGGCAAGCTAAAATGAACATCTCAGTGAACTCTGTGGACAGGGGCCATTGAACAGCCTTCCCAGTTATCCCCTAAACTCTTAATACCCTTTTGCATCTGTCTGCATGTTTATCTAGTAGGTGTTTATAAGGTTGTTAGAGCTTTAATGAGTAGACATAATTAATTAATTATGTCAACACATCATAACTGTTTACCAGTACCTAGAATCTATTTATTTGTACTAAATGGTAATTCTTTGAAATGTGGTCCATGTTCTCTATCAATCTGGACCTATTGGCTTACTTTTATCAAACCCTTAATTTTTTTGACAACTTCAGGAGTAGCATGGCTTTATTTCCAATGCACTACCACAGTGAGGCTTAAGAACTCCAAGTCTCTTTTACCAATGTTTAAATACTTAAGTAAGCTTCAACAAATTCAAAATTAAATGCAATTTTCAACATAAACCTACACAGACATCATGTACCATTTGATTGTAACTGTGATCCTGGCACTAGTAGGTAAATGATGCATCATTGTAAGCTTTCAAAGTATTCCTGTGTAAAGGGGATTCCACTGCAATTTCAGCTAAGTTATGGAAGTTCTGAGGAAATAACTCACAATGTTGTTGCTAGATACTTGGTACAACATATTATAATGAGATGATATAACTGTTTAGTTATATTTACCCATGCCTGATGGTACTGCAGATGCAATTCGAACATTATTCAAAGCCGCAGGTGCACGTTCTGAAATGAATACAAGCAAACAGAAGAAGTCAGAATTCAATGCTCACCAAACAATATTGACGTGAATGTCGTTGAATACCAGCATTTGTTGCTCACCCTCAATGTCCCTTGATATGAGTAGCTTGCCAGAATATTTCAGCTGAAACTTAAGAGTCAACCACATTACTATGGATTAGGCATCACATAAATGCTGGACTGGACATACATCCATCTCGAAAGGATAGTGATGAAACTGAGGGGTTTTTACAATAATCAATCATAATTTCATACTAACCATTAATGATTCAAGTTCCCAGATCCAGATTTTATTCATTGAATATTGGTCTGTGCTTCTGGATTACTAGACCAACGATACTACCACAATTCCACTACCTTCCCCTATTAGCACATGTATTGTAACCATCAGATCTGTCCAATCATAATAACAAACTCTATCTTCTATCGACTTCGCCAGTAAACCAAAACTAATCTGCTATTATCTAAATCAAAGTTTTATTTGTTTCTAATTTAAAATATTAAGGTCTATAAAGTGTATAATGGTAGAAACACAATTCTGAGGTGAAGAAACCCACACTGCATATCCCAATAAACCTAGCAATGAATATACTTTAAGTTCAACTCAAAGTAGAAAATTTGACAGCCATTGCAGAATTCAGACCATCTTGCCAAAAACAATACAAAAATAAACAACTAAAACTATGCGCCGAGGGGCAATTAAGAGTCAACTACATTTTTTTTCAGGAACAAAAACAAAGTTGCTGGAAAAGCTCAGCAGGTCTGACAGCATCCGTGGAGGAGAAAACAGAGTTAACGTTTCGGGTCTGGTGACCCTTCCTCAGAGTTCTCCTCCACAGATGCTGCCAGAGCTGCTGAGCTTTTCCAGCAACTTTGTTTTTGTTCCTGATTTACAGCATCCGCAGTTCTTTTGGTTTACTTTTTTTTTCATTCAGTTATGGGACGTAGACATCATTGGATGGGCCACCATTTATTGCTCATCCCTTGTTTCTGTTGAGAAGGTGGTGGTGAGCTGTCTCCTTCAGCCGCTGCAGTCCATGAGCTATAGGTAGACCTACAATGTCATTACGGAGGCAATTCCAGATTTTGACCCAGGGATACTGAAGGAACGGCTATATGTTTCCACATCAGGATGGTGAGTAGCTCAGAGGGGAACTTACAGAAGGACAACTTGCCCTTGTCCTTCTAGATGGAACTGGTTATGGGGTTGGAAGGTGCTGGCTCAGAATACCTGCAATGCATTTGTAGATAGTACACGTTGCTACAACTGAGCTTTGGTGGTGGAAGAAGTGGATGTTTGTGATTTGGTGTCAATCAAGTAGGCTGCTTTGTCCTGGATGGTGTCATGCTCCTTGAGTATTACTGAAGCTGCATACACTCAGGCAAGTGGAGAGTATTCCATCACACTCCTAACTTGTTCCTTGTAGATGCTGGACATACTTTGGGGAGACAGGAGGTGAGTTATTCAGTATTCCTAGCCTCTGACCTGCCCTTGTAGCCACTGTGTTAATATGACAAGTCCAGTTGAGTTTCTGGTCAATGATAACACCCAGGACCAGATAGTGGGAGATTCAGTGGTGGTAACGCCATTGAATGTCAAGGTGTATTCAGTGGATTGTCTCTTATTGGAGTTAGTAATTGCCTGGCATTTGTGTGACACATGTGTTACTTGCCACTTTTCAGCCTAAGCCCGGATACTGTTCAGGTCTTGTTGCATTTGGATGTAGACTGCTTCAAGACCAGAGGACCTTCAACTGGAGCTGAACATTGTGCAATCATCAGCGAACATCCCCACTTCTGACATTATGGAGGAGGGAAGATCATTGAAGAAGCAGCTGAAGATGGCTGGGCCTAGTACACTACCCTGAGAAACTCTGCAGAAATTCCCTGCAGCTGAGATGACTGCCAACAACCACAATCAACTACCACTGTGCCAAGCACGAGTCCAGTGGGCAGAGTGTTTTCCCTGGATTCCCAATGACTCCGGTTTTGCTAAGGCTCCTTTATGCCACATTTGGCGAAATGTGGCCTTAACGTCAAGGGCTATCACTTTCCCTAAACTCTGGAATTCAGATCTTTTGGCCATGTTTGGACAAGGTTGTTATGAGGTTAGGAGCTGAGCAACCCTGGCAGAACCCAAATTGGGCGCCTCCAAGCCTGCACTGACATGCTGCCCATCACATCGAAAACTCCCTACCCTCTGGGGACCGTATCCCTCTGTTCCCATCCTATTCACGTATTTGTCAAGATGCCTTTTAAAAGTCACTATCGTACCTGCTTCCACTACATCCCCCGGCAGTGAGTTCCAGGCACCCACCACCCTCTGTGTAAAAAACTTGCCTCGCACATCACCTTTAAACCTTGCCCCTCACACCTTAAGCCTATGGCCCCTAGTAACTGACTCTTCCACCTGGGAAAAAGCTTCTGACTGTCCAGTCTATCCAAGCCCTTCATAATCTCGTAGATCTCTATCTGGTCGCCCCTCAACCTCTGTCGTCCCAGTGAGAACAGCCCAAGTTTCTCCAACCTCTCCTCATAGCTAATGCCCTCCATACAACATCCTGGTAAATCTTTTCTGTACCTTCTCCAAAGCCACCACATCCTCCTGGTAGGGTGGCAACCAGAATTGAACACAATATTCCAAATGCGGCCTAACTAAAGGTTCTATAAAGCTGCAACATTACCTGCCAATTCTTAAACTCAATGCCCCGGCCAATGAAGGCAAGCATACCATACGCCTTGTTGACTCTGTGGGAACGAGAGAGACTCGCAGTTGGTGTGTTGCCTCCCAGGGTCCGTGATGTCTCGGATCGTGTTTTCGGAATCCTTAAGGGGGAGGGGGAGCAGCCCCAAGTCGTGGTCCACATAGGCACCAACGACATAGGTAGGAAAAGGGATGGGGACGTAAGGCAGAAATTCAAGGAGCTAGGGTGGAAGCTTAGAGCTAGAACAAACAGAGTTGTTATCTCTGTTACCCGTGCCACGTGCTAGCGAGGCGAGGAATAGGGAGAGACAGCAGTTGAACACGTGGCTACAGGGATGGTACAGGAGGGAGGGATTCAGATACCTGGATAATTGGGGCTCATTCTGGGGTAGGTGGGACCTCTACAAACGGGATGGTCTACACCTGAACCAGAGGGGTACCAATATCCTAGGGGGGAAATTTGCTAATGCTCTTCGGGAGGGTTTAAACTAATTCAACAGGGGTTGGGAACCTGAATTGTAGCTCCAGTGTACAGGAGGTTGAGAGTAGTGAGGTCATAAATAAGGTTTCAAGGTCGCAGGAGTGTACTGGCAGGCAGGAAGGTGGTTTGAAGTGTGTCTACTTCAATGCCAGGAGCATCCGGAATAAGGTGGGTGAACTTGCAGCATGGGTTGGTACCTGGGACTTCGATGATGTGGCCATTTCGGAGACATGGATAGAGCAGGGACAGGAATGGTTGTTGCAGGTTCCGGGGTTTAGATGTTTCAGTAAGATCAGGGAAGGTGGTAAAAGAGGGGGAGGTGTGGCATTGTTAGTCAAGGACAGTATTACAGTGGCAGAAAGGACATTTGATTACAACTCGTCTACTGAGGTAGTATGGGCTGAGGTTAGAAACAGGAAAGGAGAGGTCACCCTGTTGGGAGTTTTCTGCAGGCCTCCGAAAAGTTCCAGAGATGTAGAGGAAAAGATTGCAAAGATGATTCTGGATAGGAGCGAAAGTAACAGGGTAGTTG